CCGGGTGCTCACTGTGACTCGGAATAATTTTAATCGTAATTTTTCACTTTATTCCAGTAAATATGATGTCTTCTTTCGTTTTCGTACACAAATAAATGTTTTCCACCAATAATTTTAATTTTTTATCGATTTACAAATTGTCCAATAATTCTCCGAGATTTTTCAAAAGTGCAAAAACAAAATTTTTTTCACCAATTGAAATAACATGCATAATTAAATACACTTTGATCAAACTGCTGATAGCAAATGGAAGGTTATTTCTCGTACTAGAAAACCAAGCTATAAAATTTTTAGAAAAAGTACACTGTCAGCAAAAAGTATTGGCACAGAAATTTTTCATAACAGTAACAGTTTCTAATATTTTTCCGCCAATTTTTTATAAAAATATGCTTCATTCTACAACAAAAAACATAAAAATATAATTACTAAATTTTGTGCAAAACTACCGAAAATTCAGCAAATTTTCAACTTTTTAATCAGAGTTTTTAGAATTTTTTTGAGTATGCAGTTTTTTAGCCCACTGCAAGTTCTGAGTTAGTTAAAAATCGCATTGATTTTTGAGAATTTTTTTTTGTAGCAGGTGTTTTGCATTTTTTCCATATAAAGTATTTTCGAAAAAAATTTTTTGTATGGAAGAGACTGCATGAAAAAAATTGCCCAAATCAGCAATAATGATTAGCAACTTAAAACTTATACTTTATTGTAATAAAATTGATTGTGCTACAAATCTGCATACTCAAAAAAAAAAATCTGATTAAAAAGTTGAAAATTTGCTGAATTTTCGTGAGTTTTGCACAAAGTTTAGGAATTATATTTTAATGTTTTTTTGTTGTAGAATGAACCATATTTTTATAAAAAATTGACGGAAAAATATTAGAAAAAAAAATTTTGCATATATTGTGAAAAATTTGCTGTGCCAAAACTTTTTGCTGGCAATGTTAGTTTTTTTGCGAGTTTTCGACCAAAATAAAAGTGTGTCCAAGAATACCGCGTCTTTCCCTAATGTTAAATAAAGTAAATACATAAAAAAACAAGTAAAAAATTTAAAAAAAAACCTTTTTTATTGATATTTTACGTCCTAAAGTAGGTAACTACAAGTTAGCTGACTTCTAATGCAGAGGAAACCAGTTCTCACTTTTACACGGCCATCGCCGTTCAAAAGTAGTTAGTTACGGCCGAAGGAATTAAGTTACAAAAATGTACAACTAACTAATCCCGTTTCCTGCAGGGATGTGCCTGAAAGTGTGTGTGTTGTATGTATTTGTGTTGGCAGCTGCTTATGCACTAAGCAATTATTGTTGCTACCACTGTTGGCGCGTCGCGGCTGCTGGCTCAGCTACTGCCACTACTGTTACTGCAACAATTCAATTAACTCGCTGAGTAATGCAGATTGATTAAAATCAGTCTGACGGCGCAGAGTAGTAAAAAAATTATAAAAAACAATATATATGTCTACAAACGAGGCATGTAGGCACACGGCATTGTTGGTTAAGAATTTTTAAAAGACACTTTTGTGTTAAAAGCTTTGCGCTGGCCCATATTTACACGCTTTTGTTTTGTTTTTATTGGTCAGAGTAAAATTTTCGCTTAGCATTTTATTTTTAATGAACATTAGCATTTTTTTTTAATACAAACACATGTCACTGATTGCAAATTATGGCGTGCAAATACGCAATAAATTGTGCGAATATTGAACACTCCCACCACTCGGGCAAATACTGCAATTTGTAGTCAACATTTTTGATTTAAGCGAAAAATTACAAATGGAAAAATATTTATCAAAATAAATATAGATATATGTAAGTATGTATGCAACTATTTAGACTCAAGGTTTTCCGAACAAAATATTATTTTTTTTTTATTAAAAGCACTTTAGTGAGAATCATTTCCGAGTTAATTTTTTTTTAAACCCAACGATTAACAGGATTTACGAGGCAGTTGATCTGATCAGAATATGTGCTACTCTGACAGAGTATTAATGCGAGCCACGAAGGCGTAGGCGGAATGCTTCATTGATGTGATCTGATGGTATTTTGCCCCAGTGGCGGCGAATGCGTTGACTGTGTCATATTTTTAGTTGATATTTTGACTTCGATAATGAACCACAGACATGGAAGAAATGAAGCTGGGAAGTTTTTTTTTTTTGATTTTGTGAACTTTATGTGATGGTCACGAGTGTTTTTGAAACGTCCAACATTCGTGCCGCATGCGAAGCATATCCCGACAGACTCGATGCTATTATCCGCGCAGTAATACATTTTTCTTGAACTTCAAAATAGACAAAATTTTAACATTTTAAATTGGTAACACTTCGGGCGTTTACCTCTGCATTTTTTACATTAAAGTTGTTGTGGCCTTTCTTAATAAAATTAAACTCTAAAAAATATTATTAACTTGAAATAAATACGTGAAGTAACAAAAACTAAAATAGAAAAAAATTAAGTTTAAATTAAATAAAGTAAAATAAACCGTATATGTAAATAAAAATAGAATTAAAAAAACATTATTTTAAAAATCGATCGGTCCTGGGATTCTAAGGGATTATAGTACATATTTGGCTCGTTAATTTTTCATTCACAATAGCAGACAGCTGTCCGTTTTGGTCAGTGTTGTTATCCAAAATGTCCCCCATTAACATTAATTTTGAGAATTAACTCTATGCTTTTAGCCTAGAAATCCTACTACAATTTTCTCAATTTCTAGGAATTTTTGCACACCTTAAACATCAAGCAAATGAAAATATTAATTAAATGTTATTATGTAATATTTCATCTTAAGTTTTGCTCTTCCAAATAGACTTATTTTAATTTCATTTTGGCCAATTTTTTTTACCCATTGCTCCAAGGTGCTTGTAAAATATCAGTGATTAATCAAATGAGTTAATATAGTAGCAAACAAAAAAAAATTGCCTTTTTACATTTTTCGCTGTATATTTTTTTAGCAAAACAAATGTTCAACGAATTTTTGTAGCTTTAATTTACTGACATTACGGTGGTATCTTAGTGGTGATAAGGTCTATTGTATTTACATATGTGTAATTATATACAAACTTTCAAAACGTTATTAAATTTTGATGGAAAATTACTCCTTTCATGGGAATAAGGATGAAAACGAAAAAAATCGTATTGTAGGGTTTACAAAATACTGAGAAAAAAATATAGTTTTGAAATGAACTGGTAATTTTACACTACTTTTGTTAAGCTCCGGAGGCCTTACAATGTCCCAAGTACCTAGCGTTTACAAGGACACACCATTCCAAAACAGTTTGACTTAACGAAACAATGAAGATTACGTGTCACACGAAAAAGTAACTGATCTGATGCCGATAAAGAATGTAATGTCGAAATGGGGATGGTCTAGGCTCCAATGCCAAAAATCCATTCGAGTTAACTTTGCTTGGGTCTTCTGCCGCGAAACCAACAAAAAGGGTATTGCGGTCGAACTCGCCTTATAGTACTAGGTTTACATAAAAGTGGATTATCCTCATTTTCGGGATTAACTCGCTAATATGTAATTAGAAAAAGAGATTAGCTATAAAAAGATTCGCCTGTCGTTAATCTATAATTATAAAATAATCTCAGATTAAACCGATAACTTTTCGGTGTCATCCTAGTTCTATCGAAAGAAGGTTTGTAAAAGGTATTTTTAAACAAATATTAAGTTAAAAATTTAGGTTATTCAATATAGTAGAAAAAAGTGATGACGGTGGTACAGAGAAGAAACTTAAGTTCCTTGAGATGTGAGAATAACAAGCGCAAAAAATTGTACATAGTACTTAAGTATATAAATAAAGCAGAGACCGAAACTAATCATTAATTACCAAAAATTTTATTTTTAGTTAATTACAGAATAACAAATTTGTATTATTTATTTATTTTTTTTTTTATCAAGAATAAAAGATCAATTTGGATTTTTATTTCTTCGGTAAGAAATAATCGTTATCGTGGAATTTTTTTTCAGTAGCGATCGTTAGAATGGAGACTGTGTTCTTATGACAGTTTTAAATCTTTTATGATCTAAAAAATTTAATCTGCAAATAACGACAACTGTGGTATCAGTGACTTCACTATGATCAAGAATAAGAAATGTAAAGATTACAACGATGTAAGAACCTTTCCAGAATTTTCTCTAGGTCTTCGAGAAAAAATTATCTATACTCATAAGCTCAATAAAATTTTTGAATATAATTGTTATAAGGCCATAAATAACAAAAACAAATAAACTCAGTAAGTTCATTCGAATTAATTAGGGTACTCACAGTTCACAGTATTATCTACTGTGTTAATTTTGCCATGTGGTAACTTTGTTTGTTGTTGGTTCCCATACTAATTAGATATAACACTTTGGGGCAAAATTACTCGTCTTTGTCTCATGTTTTTATTTTGTGTTAAACTGACATCTCTGATCGGCTAATTATTCGCGCTAAGAAAAAATGGAAAGTGAAGCAGAAAAACATAAGGTGGGCGTAATTTAAAAGATTTTTAAATCTATATCTGACTATACTTGTTTTATTGACAATTTGAAACACATGTGTGCAGGGTTGCACACAGTTCGAGTGTGTTATCTTGTTAAATTTACCACCTTTTAACTTTAAAAGTAAACTGTGAATACCCTAAATGTTGCCCTATACACCAGTTAGTTATCACATTTCATTTACTAAATTTGAAATAAAATTCAATATAGTTTTTTTTTATGATTTATTACAAAATGTTGTAGACTTACATATGCGAATTTGTCCGTTACAACGGTTGCACGCCTTCCTTTGTAGTGGTAGTAAAAAATTCAGCTACGTTTAATACGCAGAACTATGGGCTATTTGAGCAAGTGCTGCCGTAAAAATTTTATATTTCAATTGCTTTTTTAACGCAAAGTTTTAATGGCGCTTTCGGTGCGCTGTTCAAGTTGTATGTATATAATAAATATTAACGGATGATCAGAATGTGTTGTAGTCTTTAATTAATTGTGTATTTTTTTTTTTTTTGTTATGCTCTATATCATTAAAGTTGATGACTTTTTCTTATTCGTCAGCAATGCGATTCTTCCACTATAATAATTTTAAATGCCGATCTGCTGCTGTTTTTTTATATTCATCAATTTATTTACGTTAGTATATGTATATGTTTTGTTTTTTATTTTCCACGCGTATTTTCAAAACTATTTATTGCCGTAGAAAATTTGTGTTGATTACTAAGTAAATTATGGGTTTTTTGATTACTGCCGCTTTTTATAGTTGTTTATAATGAAATTGTTATTTTAGCACTCTGAAATTTAATGTAGACACTTTAGTAGTTGTTTTACTTATTTTTTGTTGGTGTAGAAACACTTTTAACTGCAATGCTAGATTTTTTAAAAGAAAATTAATTATCTTGTTACATATTTTGTTTTTTTTTTGTTCTTCAACAACTTCAGCAACAAACTGTCGACGAGTGGTGATCTACGCGTTGATTTGCAATTCGCTTAAATGTATGTAAATCTGCATACATACATACATACATATATATTTTACACTGTGTACATTTGTTTGTTAGCTTCTTGTGATAGTGAATTTCTCGTTTTAAATATTTAGCTCAGCCTAGCGTTTATTGGTTTTATTACAATTATTTTGATTTTGCTTAGAAAAGAATTATTTTTGTATTTATACCCGTACACACATACACACATACATATTTACCTCAAGATATTTTCAATTAATTGTTCGTAATTGCGAAAAAATTCGCAGCTGTGGGCGGAATATCGATTAACAGGTGATTAGAAAAACAAACCAAACAAACAGTGCACCCGTGAGTATAAACATTGCAAGTTGAGTAAGCAATGGAACAAAAGTTTACATGAAATTAAAAAGTAAAATATTATACACAAAATAAATACATACTTATGTATGTTCAAGGCTATTTTTCCGGACACTCAAACGTGCCCTCCCGTCAGTCCATTAAGCATCTAAACTTCAAATGACGTTGTTTATTGCTACGAAAGAATATCGAAGACATAAACCACGACTGAGTACAAACTATATTTTGAATAAAAAAAATCCGCTGGAAAAATGGTTAGGGACGTGTACTAGCACTCAGTAGGGCCCATATTCGATTTAAGGTCCGCACAATATTAAAAAAAAATAATAAGAAAAAAGTTGTTTTCTTATAGCGGTCGTCTCTCAGCTACTCATAAAAAAAATTATTTTCTGTTCAGCGGTGACAATATCGAGGCGCAGACCACAAAATCGAGGAGAACCTCGCTTAGATACTTCACATGGCAGCCCCAATTTTTGTTTGTTTGGTTTTTAGTTTTTTATCTAGAAAATGGGGGGCTCATCAAATAAGAAACACCTCGTAAAGTCGCATTTTTTGCTCACTTAAAAAAAAACTACTTCCACGTTCAATATCACTCACCTTTTGTGTAAAAGTATAATTTGATAACGAAGTCTCTTAACAAAAAAATAATAATTACAGTAAAACCTACATAACTAACCCCACCCCGGCTATGTTAATAAGACCCCTTTCAGACACGTCAAGTCTTGCTTTCAAGTCTGCTCGGTCTGTAGGCAAAAGAGGTGAGAAGAGAGGAAAAAAGTAGACTCCTCTCACCACCTTCGCCTACGAAAGAGCAGACTTGAAAGCCAGACTTGACGTGTCTGAAAGGGGTCTAACCAATTGTCAAATATGACATGGCGAGCAGCAGCTGCAAGAGAGCTCTGTGGGGCATTTATCCGCAAAAAGTGACTCTTTTGTCGGCATTGTCAGCCGGCAGCGTTATCGGTCTAGATTTCTTCAAAAACGGGAAAAGAGAAATTTACGAACCTGTTAAAGTTTTTTTTTCATTTTTTCGTTAAAAAACAAAAAATTTGAAATGAATAATTCATTTCTTAGAAACTATCAGGCCTATCGAAAAGTGGGACAGGAAAACTATAGTCTATAGCTGGACTAAAAAATTAAATTTGAAAAATGTATGAAGTCAGCTAAGGCTGTTAAGAAAAACGGATGCACTTAGCGGGTTTCACTGTTGTTTGAGATGAAAGTTTTTTTACTTTAAAGGAAATCACAAAAAAATTAAAATATTAAAATGTTTACTCGAGGATGCATAATGACGCCATTTTGGTGCCCCATAGCCCAGCGCCAATTGACGATCGTGTTGGTGACGGCGCTGTGACAACACGTAACAAGTACCGTTGTGCGATTATGTTGTTGACATTTCAAGGTGTATGTATGTATGTATGTATGTATCTACATGTGAGTGAGTGTCAGACAGTGCGTTTACTTGGCGGGTATGCTTGACAAATGTTTAGCGCGTGCTTTGCCCACTAAACCAATCAGCCAAAAAGCAAACACACACAAGCGGTGGCTGACAGGAGGCCAAGCGAAGCCAGAAACAAACTAATGACCAAACAATTCAAATATGTAGTTGTAGGTAGCAAAATAAGCCACTTGTCAGCGTTCAAAAAACAAAAACGAAAACGATACAATCACATCAACAAATATGCCACTTGTAAGCTATTATTAGGCACACTAGCAACAACAACAACAACAACTGCAAACAATCGCAGCATTTATGCATAGAGGCGCTAAATACATTTAAAAACAAATGACAAGCGCATAACCGTTGTGAAAATAATTTCTTAAGTAGTACTTTTTTACAAAAGCACTTTTTCTAAGCTAAATGAGTAGTATGTGCGACAAATAGTACCTACATATGTAGTCCATACATATGTAGACTTGGTTCCAAGAGCGTGTCTAGCTAGTCGACAAATATCTACGTTCACACTTGCTGTCTGTCGTCCAGTGATTGTTGCAAACCATTGTTGCTGTCGACACGCGCATTAACGGTATGTTACTTTATTGTATCTTCATATAGTATTTCTTTCCTCTTCTCTAGTAGTTCACGTGTCGCGCGGTTGACATAGCCTGTCAGGTAGTCAGTCTGTCAGTCATATAGCCAGTCTTCCACTACTAATCAGCTTCTTTAAAAAATGGCATCTAAGTGTTTTGTGGCTTTTATGTTTATTGCTGTGGATGTTGTTTTTGTTTTTGTTGTTGCTGTTGCATGTTAGTTATGTGTTGCCGTTGTCACTAATGCTGTTTGTGTTGCTGTTGCTGCTTTTGTTATTGTTTCTGTTGTTCTCGTTGACGTCGATGTCGCTGATAGCGTCAGCGTCACTGACAGTGTTGATTGCGATCGCGGCGTCACGTCTCTTAACACTCTGATCACATTTCACACGGTCACGTTTGTTGTTGGTGTTGTTGTTTTCTAAAATGAGTATGAGCGTGTTTTTTTGTTTGTTTGTTTGTTGTTGCATTTGCCGCCGACAGTTTGTTAATGAAGTTGTTAAAGTTGTAATGTGTTGCCGACACTTGCTGTCCACTGACAGTTAAGTTGCTATGTTTAGATTATTTTTTTGCTTATTTTTTGTATTTACTACATTAGAGCTAATTTGAAACTAGTTTTGAATTAGAATAATAAATTAATTAAATTAATTTTTTTTTTATATTAAATGTTTATAATTACTTGTTATACTGCGTTCTTAATACTCTCCTATAAATACTAACCACAATAAACTCGCTCTTGGGAAAGTTAACCCTAGTCATTTGATATTTGTCAAATATCACTGTCAAGCAAACTGGTCGAAATATGACCATCTATAACAAGACGGGGCCACATGCCATTCAACGCGGCTAGTTAAGGCTACATTGTGCGAGAAAATTCCAGGACGCGTGATTTCGAGATTCTCTGGATTTAGTTATGACCGAGGTACATGTTGCCCGAATTGTGTGAAAAAGTAATCGAAAATTACCTCAAAAGGATTGAGCTCTTGAAACGGTCACGTGGAGAACGTTTGAATGATATTATTTTCCACGTATAACGGCATAGTCTAAACTTTTGTATAACATAAAAATCTTAGTATCAAAATTTTAATATTCAGTATGTATCTTATTACTTGGACTTAACTTTCCCAAGGAGAAAAGAGCTTAATCGTAATTGCGCGTTCGCACTTTTGACAGATGAGTGGAAATGCATTTAAATAAGTATATGGAACAACGCGCAATAACACCTTAATCGTTTGATCGTAAAATGTAATACTGTAATACTAAATATGTTCACGTTGAGCCATAAACTCGAGGTTATGGGCCATTTTGGAGTTTAACGCTAAACTCTGCTCTTAAACTCGGAGTTTACTATACAAACAATTTTGGATAAACTCGCCTTAAAGACCACTTTTATTTGGAGTTTATGGGAATGCAACCCGTTTTCTTGACTTAATTTTGGCAGCACAGTGCAATCAAATTGGCCGCACTAGTATACATTTTGGCCGCACTGATGCATTTTGACAATTAGCCTGTTCCCGTACTACAGGATATAATCAGAAATAGTCCGAGATCGCTCCGTACACATAAGTCTAGAATATCAACAGTTTAGCTATGCAAAAATCAAAAATATGGCTCGATAGAACTTTTCGTGCTAATTTCAACCATACTACAAATTATTTGGCGGAAGTAAAAAGTAAAGAAGATATTAATGGTTAAAATTAAATTTTTTTATTATTTTAAATTATAATACCTTCTGAACTACATAATATCAATACTTTTGTGATCCCTCAAGTAGTTTCCGAGATATTATGAATATAAGAAACATAAAAGTTTAGCTTTAACCTCTTTTAATGGCTTTAGTTTTTATTCGTTCCAAATAATCTTGGTATAGTTGAAATCAGCATGGAACTTTCTATCGAGCCACATTTTTTTTTATAGCTTAACAGTTGGTGTTTTAGACCACGAATACTTCGGCCTATTTCTGTCTAAATTCTGGAGTACGGGAACAGGTCAAATGTGAATGATAAAAAGTAATCAAACAACTGTCAAATTAAACTCTGAGTTTCTTAAACACCCCAATGAGAACACTTGACAGTTGTTCATAAACTCAAAACGTTAAACTCGAGTTTATGGATGGTTCAACGTGAACATAGTATAAGGCTCGAGTGCAATGTTTCTCTATTAAGTCGCGCGTTTGACTTTAGAAAAATTTCAAAATGTCCGACTATTTATATAAGCCGTTTATTTTGAAAGTGGCATAAGTCACTTCGTACCTCTTGTGCTTAAATTACCGGCTACTTGTAACCGAATGCATCTGTAAATCGTGGTATCATTATAAACTAACGACAAAACTTTCTACCTTTGGTTGATGAAGTTGAACGAATAACCGACGCGTTCTGTTACAAGTAACCGGTCATTTAAGCACAAGAGGTACGAAGTGACTTATGCCACTTTCAAAATAAATGGCTCATATAATACACTTTATATATATAAATATGTATATAATACACTTTATATAAAACACTTAGCACAAACAATATCGAATGTCAGTGTCGGACCCAACGCGCAATTACGATTTAGCTAATTACAATTCAATGCTGATTATTTGTCATTATAGAAATTCCTTCCTTTTTTAATACAATTTTTTTAAATTATTTTTCATAATTCATAGAAAATGCAATTTATAATTTAATTGCTTACTAATAGTTATCAATTGTTGATTATAATATGAAAATTATAAGCCTTTTAATGCTGATAAATCCCAAATATTTGTGTTCAAATTTCTTGTATTCAATTTTGGTTTATTTAAATTATTTTATTTTAAACAATATTATATGCGTTTGAGCTTACGGCCAGTTTATAGAACAATTTTATGGAAAAACTCTAACAGACAGGCCTATTATCTTAGTAGTCTCTTATGAACTTTATAATATTTTATTTAAATTTGTATATTTTTTTTATAATTTTTAAATGAATTTCACGCTACTTTATTTATGTTTATTTTTTTATTATTTTATGTAAAATTATTACTACAGTGGAATCCTGATATTTTGTATCGCAAGGGAACGGAATTTTGCTTTGCGTTACGAGTAGCAAAAGGTAGTCTACTACCAAATACACAATAAAAGGTTTGTAACGTAACAAATAGTCAGTACTAATTTGTACTAGAACCTGCAAATGTTTACTGGAAAAGTGTATAATAACCCACAAAATGTGCAAGAGAGCACTGAATCGAGAGAGTAATAACACAGGAGAGCTGCAAATTGTCGCCAGTGAAATTTTTACTAGCAGAAATTAGCTATCAGAAGAAGAACAAGAACAAATGTCAAAAACCGTCATTTGTTGAATTGGTTAAGCATAAGTAAAAGTGAAATGAGTGGAAATCAAAATATGAATGATGTACTGGACTGTATAAGTGCTTGTGTGTAAAGCAAAGAGTTTAAAACTGATTTATAAATAGTAAAATGTTTACAGCAAAATGTCAAAACAGTGTAACTCCTGTTCACTTGCAAATTTTTACTAGTTTTGTATTCAATAACTTTTTCTGCTGTTTTCTCTTTTTCTCAATTTTACGCTGTATTTCGCGTTTACGCTCTCGCTGCAAGTTTTTACTAGAAAAGTTACTACATACGCCTAGTAATAGATTGGCACTTACACATATGTATGTACGTTAGTCTTTGGCCGAGTTTCTCCTCCTATTTGTGGCATGCGGCGACTCAGAAAGGCGATTGTAATTTTATGAGAAATCGGTTATCATGGCAGAAATATACTCGGAGGTCTGTCATTGCCTGCTGGGGGGCGACCACTATTAGAAAGAACCCTTTTTTATGTATGATTGAACCGGACTTGAACCCAGGCCCTGCGGAATGGTAGCGCGCACTGCTAATCACTACACCACAGCGGCCGCCAACTATCAATTACATACTATGTTTTTATAAGACGTGGAACATATGTAACTTGCGCTGTCAAAAAAAAAGTAACACAATTAACGACGGAACTTAAATGTATGGAAATTTTTCGAATCAATGCGATTTTTTTCAAGGGAAACGGGCTGAACTTTTTTATTTCTTTACTTAATTGTAATGCTTTTAGTATTCCAGTTTTTTATTCTATTCTGTTTTATTAAATTTCTTTTTATTTCCCTTAAATTAATTTGGTTTGATTGTATTCCATATTATTTTATTTCTTTTCGTTTTATTTAATTTTATGTCGTTCATGTTATTTTATTTTATTTCACTTCGTTTTTCAGTTTGATGGATGTTTTATTTAATAATTTGTGTTACTAAATTTTTTTATTTAATTTTATTACACGCCGTTTCATTTAATTTTTATGTAGATATATATGTATTTAATATATTTTTTTTGTTATTTTAGTATATTTTTCAGATTAAAATTTGAGTTTTTATTTAATTAAATTTTTTAATTCATTCTGCTTAAACTTTTTTGTTCCTTTCATTTTTTGTTTAATCCTTTTCTTTTATTTTTCAATCAAATTTTTTGGTTTGCGTTTGAATTTTTGGTTAACTTTAAATTTTTATTTATTTTTTATATTTTTTTTCTATACTATTTTTTACTTTGTTTTTCTATTTTTTACATATTTTGCTTTGTTTTTATTTTACATATTATTTTTATCATATTATATTTTATATGATTTTTCTATATTTATGTTAAGTAATTTCTTTAGTTTATAATATATTTTTTTATTATCTGTTTATATTTCTATTTTATTTTCTCTTTATTTTAACTGTTTTCTTTTCATATAATTTCTTAATTTACTGTTTTATTTTATTATTATTTTTTGTTTGTTTTTTTGCTTGTTCCTTTTCAATTCTTCCTATTTATTTCTAGTAATCTAATTGTGTGTTTTGCTTCCTAAAGTTTTTTCTTGGTTATGCAAAAAAATATCTATCTTTACCTTCTATCCAAACAATTTTCGTTGCATACACTTTTCAGCAATTCTCTCGCACTCTATCCAGCTCGTTATGTTATGTACATATATTATTTTTTCACTCGTATTAGCACTTCTTCACTATTGTTGATGTGTTAATTTTTTACTTCGAATATTTTTTCCTTGTTTGCGGATTTTATGTATTTTCTTTACACTGATTGTTTGATTTTTCTTGTACAAGCATTCAATTCTTACTGTTGTTGTAGCTGTTGTTGTTATTTAATTAACGCGCAGTCACAAATGTGATTTCTCAATTATTCGTTATTTGCTTTTAATTTGCGCTCTTTCGCTTTTGTGCTACTGTCGCTGCTGCTGGCCGCTTCTGCCACTGTGTTTTTTTTTTTTTATTATTATTGTTGTTCATTTGCTGGCGCTGCTCCTACTGTTGCTGGCTGCCACAATTCGATTTTAATTAACTTCGATTGCTGTATGTCTGCGCTTTGTTACAATATAAATTTTTGCCTTGTATTTTTCTTTCAAATAAAATGGTTGATTGAAAACGCACTTTCGCGGCGTCAAATTACAAAACAAACAACAAATCTATCCCACTACAAGAAACCCGGCTTAACGTCGAATATTTCACGCTCCAAAAGCACTAATTTGTTAATATGAATTTGTGTGTTTTATTTATTTATTTATTCTTTTTTTTATTAGTTTCGCTTCCACAATTACTTGGTAATTGCCAAATTGCAATTAACGCTTTGCTAACACCACACAAATTATTATTTTTTTTTTATTTGATTTGATTTATTTTTCTAATTAGCATCGAATATTTTAATAATGATATCGCAACCGTACGTTGTTGTTGCTTATATTGCTGTCGCTAAAAATTGCTTGAGCTCGCTTAAGTATTTAGCAGATAAAATTCTTTTTTGCTTTTATTAACAAAGAGACGCAAAAATACCACCGTCTGCACGAACCGACAACGTCGACGTTTATTCGACGAATGAATGAAAAATCTGAGAAATTGTAAAATGAATCGCCCGCCCGGCCGCAACCACTAACAATTTGTCGTCGTCTCTGGTGTTGATATTAGTGTTGCAGTTGTTGTTTGTGTTGCTCCCAAAATATGTGCACATAAGCGCTTGGTGGTTGCTGACTCTTGTTGTGATACCTTTGTTATTGTTGCTCACTAGGTCCACCCCTTTGCCTTGCGCACTTTTCAAAATTTCCCAACGAAGGCGCACAAATCCACCAGAGAGCATTTCGCATTGCTGCCGGTTTGTTCGGCCTGCCCAAATGGGACTTTCCATATGTATGTCTGGTTTTCTCTCGCTCAGCACATATGGTTTTAGTGGCGATGAGACCGGCTTTTTCATTCCACTCTTCATTGGAACCTACCTAAACCCATACACATACGCACACATATTCACTAAAGTGCTCTCTACTGTTGCTCCACCATACCACACTCACTTCCAGGTGCCTACCGTTTGGCGCTCGCTTGCTCACTTGCTCATATGCTCTCTTCTCCTTCAGCTACTTGCTCTGTGGGGGGGTTGTTTGTGGGACAGCTTTTGCGCACATTCCGGTATTGCGGTAATTGTTGGATTTTTTTTTGTTTTTTTTTGTCATTTGCTTTACTATGATTTTGATTTTTGTTTTGGTTTTGTTGCTGTTATTTTTTATACAAGTGATCCTTTTGTTTTGTTTGTGGAGACATATTCGTATCTGATACGCCATTGGACGGTGTCGTCCTTGATTTGCACAGGTACACTAGCGCAAACATAAGTATTTACATATTTAAGTACATATTTACAAATGTTGTTCGACTGGAAGGGGAGTTATTTGAGAGGTAATAGAAAATGTCAACTGGTTATTTACTCCCAATTTAAGTTTTTGTTTAGAGAAAAGTGACTGTGTGTATGGATGGTCTTCTTTTCACTGTGACAAATTCAGGTGAAAATGTTGCCAGTTAAGTGAAACATGAAACTAGCAACAGAATTCAAAATTATTCTGAGACGCCGGCAAGTGCTATTGGCAAGAATGGAATGAAAAAAGTAAGCCCTAGAGAAAATAGTAATTTGTTACAAAATCAGTTAAGACGAAATAAAACATTTTTCGCTGTTTTACTGCATTTTCTTGCTTTAATTTTGAAATTCAAT